CAACGTCAGATCTACAATTAATTAATTATTAAAAATTTTGATCAAACTAAGGTCGGCATGATTAACGGATGATGTGTTCAAGTGAGGAGATCAAGCTGTGCCCACAAACTTCAATAATAATCATCTTTATGGAGTTAGTGAAAAAGCATTTCGGCTTTTCTATACAGATCAGTTTTAACTATTTTTTAATGTAAGAGCATCTTGTGTTTTGTGTGTGTGTGTATGAGATTCATTCCTTATTTCCATTTTTATCATTTTTAAATATTTAATATTTTACAAATCAAGAAATATATTTTGGGTGAATGGCTATTTCTTTAATTTAAAAAACTTGATTTTGTGATTGGCCCAAAAAAAGAGAGAAAGAAGCAACATCCATATATCGTTTGATTGAAAATGTGATGATGGATCAAAATTGTAATACTATCTACAGTCCTAATTATAAAATTTTATTTATAATTAAAATCGCAGGTAATATTACAATTTTTTATAAATAAGGTCTTATAATTAAGATAGGAGTTAGTAATTTAAAGAAAAACAAGATTGGTTTCTTCTTCATTTAAATACATTATCCTTTAACCTAGGTAGGACTCTAAAGTACAAACACAAAGCAACAATGAAGGCACAAAGAAATTAAATGAGACAAAGCCCTACCCTCAGGCTCAACATATCATATAGAGTCATCAATCTTAAATTTTTAATAGAACAAGTTGTGCTTCCTTAATTTCCTCAAGAGACTTTCTTCAAGTCAGTTTCAAAATTTATTTTTTTCCAAGGTATGGGTACTGGATCATTTTCATTATATCCATTTTCTAAAAAATGAATAAAAAGCAAATATCATATTTAACATAACATATTCTTCTTCTGAACTAAAGTGCAGAGCAACTTGTTTGATAGCCTTACCAAATTATATCTTTCCTTTCCTTTCCTTTTGTTGCCACACGCTTCTTACAACTTGAATCCATCTTTTTGATGACAGAAACCCCATTCCGTCACATATCATTTTCTCACTAAACTTAAATTCAGTTTCATACTAAATTGGATCCATCTTTATTCACGCTTCTTTGCTATTTTTATAACCTCCAAAATTATCCCTACATTCAACAATATACTACAATCAATTAAAAAATTATTTAAATTTTCTTTATTTCTCAAAAGCATTCAAAAGTGTCAATTATGTGATTGTGCGCGTAATTAATATGCGGGTCACCTTTTTCGTAAAAACCAAGTTGTTGTTTAAAAAAAAGAAAGAAAAGAAATAACATAAAGACGAAAAAAAATGATAATATATAACAAAAATAGGGGGAACAAAAATACAACGATATGGTTAATTTTTTTCATGCAAAAGTTTTCAATCAAAAACTTATCTAGAAGCTTACTTGACACGTAAACGAAAATCTTCTAATTCTTTCCCTGTCGAAAAAAACAAAAACAGGGAGAGGAAGGAAAGAAGATGGGGAAGAAAAGTCACGAGCAAAAGCAGGCGAGGAGCAGCACAGAAGAAATTTGGGTCCTTACTGTAATAACAAGAAAATTTGAGGACTTAACAGGAAAAGAGCTCTGCCAATTTTGAAGCAATGACGAGAGGTGGAAACCCACTCTGTTTGCTTCCTTCAGGATTGAGAATTCTTCAGTCTTAACTCTTAAGCTCTTAACAGGGTCTCCATTCTGCCAACTCATATTTCTGCTGTCAGATTCTAACCGGCCCTCTCCTCTTGATTCGAGCTCTATGACTGCGTGACCTAAATCCTAGAATTGGATCCAGCATTCTGTCTCGTTAACTCCTAGTCAATTATCAATAAACCTCAATCAAATAGTAAAGATCTATAAGTCTCTGAACTTCACTGCTAAGAAAGATGATTAATTTACTGTTCTTAGTGATTGTCTTGGAGATGGCACTGATAATGGTACTGCTATTTAAGACCCCTTTAAGGAAGCTGGTGATCATGGGCTTGGATCGGCTGAAGCGGGGCAGAGGACCCTTAATGGTGAAGTCCGTTGCCGGAACAATTATCGTCGTTTTGCTTTCCACTGTTTACAGCATGATGGAGATTTGGAAGCGTGGGATCGAAAATGGAGCTGCAAATCCTACTGATCAGGTTCTTATGGGGCGGCACCTTCTTGAAGCTACTCTTCTGGGTATTCCTCCCTTCGTTTTTTCGAGTATAATTTTGCTTTTAACCTGAATGGAAATGTTTTCACTGTTTTTTCTCCTGGCTTAAAGTTGATTAGGATTCTTTGCGGGATTAAAGTTTAAATAGGATGACTTTGGGTGAGATCGTGGCTTGATAGGCGAATCTGATTCAAACTTGGAATTTGCTTTATCGAATGAGTGTCACTTTACGCGTTAAGATCTAACTGAATGAATTCACCTTCTTTGTCCTTCCATCATTGTGGAATCCAGAATTCGTGTCTAGATTCTATAGTTGAGTCTAGAATACGTTTCTGTTCAATGGTGATTTCTTAGTTTCTTAACTTACAGTGAGCGAACTGCGGGCTGCATCTGAAGCTACGCAAGCTTCTGAATAAAATGGTAAATGTGAGTTTACGAAAAGTGTTGTAGTTCTTGAGAAAGAGGAAGGGAGGGGGGTTGATATCCAGCAAAGGAAAAAAACCAGCCTTCAATGGTTTTCAAATACCGTTTTAATAAAGGGCAGAGGACCTATGTATTAACTGTATGGACGCAAGTTTTTGATATATTGATGATGATTGCTTTTTCAAAGGTAGTGCAGTCACATGGATAAACAAATCCTTGTACATACTCAATTGTTCCTCTGGTGTCTTAATCTTGAGTTATCAGATATACTTCAGTTTGATGGAAGATGAGGGATTAGCTTCTGTGCAAGATTATTCTATGATGATGACCACATACATGAAGTTTACCTTGCTTCCTGTTTTCCCTGCATGTAGTGCATAGGCATTGCGTCTGGCAAGAGTTTCCCCAGCTACTGTGTCAATAAAGCCTGGTATCTCAGTTTGATCCAGACACTAGTGCTACGTGACAGTTCTTTCAGCCTGATCTTGATGGCCTTAATATTTCTATAGTCCTTTCCTCACTAATATGTAACTACCGGAATTGTTTAATGAATATTGGTTAAATAGTTTTCAACAATTACTAACTTGTCCAAATATTGTTGCAATTTTGTATCGCAGAATATGAGTAATTTTTCTTTCTTCTCAAGATTTTTTCAAGTACATAATTGTGTTTCCCCTAATACTTCCTGCTTAAGGCGCTCTTTTAAGCGCAGTGTGGAAATTATCTTGTGTGGAAATCATAGTTTCATTCCTGAATTCATTCTGTGAAGGGGAAGACTACTTAGTTTCATAACAAAGAAGTCACAGAATGACAATTTTGCTCTGGGGCTTAAATCCGCAGAGATCTCCATTTCTTAGTAAAGGGGCTTACTTTCTGCTCTTGTTTTCTTTCTTATCTTTCTTAGTCATATATTATTCTCTTCCCTGTGCTATATATGATTATATGTAAACATAGTGAGATCAGATGTGATTCCATGAAGAATCTTGGCACTTCAACAGGGAAGATCACTTCATTCACATTCTGATGCCTTAAAAATCAATCAACTCATTGTCTTAATGTGCTTTCATTGTCATGTCAAGAACATAGTGCCATTAAATTACCAAGAACCCCCGTTCAGACCTTAAAACACATTAATGATGGCCATATCTTAAATTCCAGTCCAATCAAGACAAGAATGTTTAGGGTTGCAGGAGTTTACCTAATATTTGGATCAAGATATTCATTCTTGTTAGCGATTGATCGTCTGGTTTTGGCCTTGTTTGCAGGTTTTGTGATTTTCCTCGTATTTATGGCTGACAGACTACACCATTACATAAGAGAACTTCGAATGCGAAGAAAGAGCATGGAGGCTATTAAGAATCAAGTACGAGGGCCCGAAGACGAAAAAATTGCAAGTCCAGAAGAAATGAAAGCCTTGGAAGAAGAGTCAGCCAAGTTGAGAGCAGAACTTGAACGATTGGAATCTGAACTTGCATCAAAAACAGAAGATGTAAAAGTTGCAGAAGCCAATGCAGTTGCTCTGAGGAAACAATCCGAGGGGTTCCTTCTTGAGTATGATCGCTTGCTCGAAGAAAACCAGAACCTCCGCAACGAACTTCATTCATCTGATCGCCGATTGTCACACTCAGGTGGCAAGAAGAACATATAAAGGACACATTTTCGGGCGCACTCTTCTTGAGTACCATGGCACTATGCTGACAAGAGGCTATCAATCTTTCCCAACAATGTTCTTCAAGAGAAGTTTTTGTTTTGACTTCAAATTTAGACTTCATTCTGCTGAAATGGAATGAAGTTGGATAAATTTTGTGCTAACAAAATGTGATAAGTCCTATTTTCATACGCAGTGTTGAGTTGTTTTTGCCTGCTGTAGATTGTTTATTTTTCTTTGTTTTTTCTTTTTCATTGGTGAAATATAGAGAACTTGTTTTGCCTCCAAGATTTGACAAAATATGTATAGAAGCCTGAAGTGTCTGCTGCTGATTTGTGAATCGTGATTATACTTTGGTTCAGCATGTTGGTCTGATTTAATACCAACTATGAACGTTAAACAAATCCAAGAAAGTTATCAATCATTTGTATGCACTGCTTTTCCAGATAAAAGGAACTTAACTAGTACTGGACTTTCACTTTCAAGTTTCAAGCATTGTTGGGTTTAATCTGAAATGGTTCTCCCAAATATGTTTTCAGTATTCATATAAACCCAAACTTGAGATTTTATATTTAAGCAATTAACGTCTATTAGTAACTCATATACTTGGCTTCGTATATATAGGGCACTTGTTATCAACCAAATCAAGACGTGTGAATTTTTTTTATGAACTACCTTCATTCCTTAACTTAAACTACAAACTATATATCATATTAAAGACACGAGGTAGTATTATTTATTCTATAATAAACTATTGTATTTAATATTATTAATCTTTTAAAATTTACTTAGTATAGTCTATTTTTCTATCTAATTCTAATAAATAATTTTGTGTATTTGTCTCAATTTCGATATCATAATTTGGACTCGAAAAAATTTCAAGCGCTGAAAAGATCCATCAAATTAAGAAATATTTTAATGTATATCACAGGAGTTTTTGACTTGAAATTTAAATTAAAAGTGATTATGCCTCTGGTCTTTGTTCGACTCTAGAGCCACCTCATCAGTTATTTTCCCCTATTCTTTCTTACCACAGTAATTATACCGGATTGCTACTGTAGAAGCAACAGGCAAAAGAAAATTATGCTTCCAAAAGTAGGATTAGAGAGAGGGAAAACTGAAAGCAAGTCATGCAATATATTTCTATTGGCAGCCATATTTATACATTGCGAATTTCCTAATGAAGATTCTCTGATGCAGAAATAATCATTAATATTACAACACTCGCTCAATCCAACTGTACTAATTGTTCTGGGTTCACCAATAACAACGAAATAATTGTCCTCTCTAATGTAATTTGAACTGTCTAATCCATAATTCTCTGTTTCTTCATTAGATTCTCCGCCATTGATGCTGCTGTCTCTTACTGTGATCCATTCGTCATCACATTCCCAATTGGGCATAGAAGAAGACAACCGACGAATTCTACTTCTGGGGCCAGGAGGATCCCAGGAGAAGGCGGGACCATGGGTCGGGGTCGGGTTCAGATCCGGTGTTTGGGTTTTCTGCAGCTCGTCAAACGAGTCCCAGATATCTCGATCCAACAACACACTAGTTGGGGAATTTGAACTAGGCTCATCAAATTTCTTCGACGCTGTGTTTGAATCCTGAACGAACTCGTGTTTGAGAAGTTCACCTGCTGACAACCTCTCGTTCGGATCTGTTTTCAAGCACATGGTGAGAAAATCCTTCCCTTGCTCCGACAAGAAGCTTGGAATCTCCGGTACCTCGCCGGAGAACCCTACTCGATAGAGGACACTCACCGGGTCGGAAATGTCATGCCACGGTGCTTTTCCGGTGATCATCTCCAGCACAGAACAGCCAAGAGCCCACACGTCGGCAGGGAACCCCTGCTGCTCCCCTCGCGCCACCTCTGGTGCCATGAACGCCGGGGTGCCGGCAATCACCCCACCATAATTCTGCTCCGCCGAAACTCTCCGGGCACAACCCAAGTCAGCAATTTTAGCCCCTTCATCAGTGAGCAAAACATTCTGGCCTTTCAAATCACAATGCACAATCCCATTGGAATGTAAGTAGTCCAACCCAAGCAGAATTTGACGAGCATAATGTCCAACCATAAACTCATCTAACCCACCATCACGCCCGCGACTTTCGTCGGCGATCGACCCGTAAGGCGCATACTCCATGAACAAGTTGTACATGAACGCACCATTTTCAAATGTGGTGTCACAACCTTCGTAGGCAACAACATGAGGACACTCCAATGTGGATAGAATACTCTGCTCTCTCCTAAGGCATTCCGACCGTTGGAGCTCCACCGACTTGACAGCCACAATCCGACCAGACCCACGAAACTCAGCGACCGACACGGTGGCGGTCGAACCCCGGCCGATGGTGTGCCCCCTAGTCCACTCCATTTGTGAGTTTATTGTGTTTGAGATTGAGATTAGTTTGGCAGAAGCTTCACCTTTCTCGTGTTATTATATACACAACCACACGCATATATGGAAAGGTTGAAACTTTGGTGTGATGTGATTGGATGGGTGCTGGAAAGAGAGGAGGTGATGTGGGAATGGAAGGGCTTTTTGTTGTTTGCGATGAATTTATGGGCGGCCGCCGTATTGTGGCGCGTTGGTGGGAAGGGGCCACGTGTAAGGAGGAGAGGTTGCTTTTGTTGGGGTTTGGCCGGCGATAGGATGAGAAAAGGGGAATGATGAAGCATTGCTTAGGAAGCTAAAGCTAAGGCAAGGTCTGAGGCACATGCCGGCACGTGCTGCCTCTGCCTTTTTCATCCAATGCGGTGATTTGGATAATAGTTATGATTATAATTAAATATTTAAATATTATAATAATATGTTTCACAGATCATTTCTTCCAGGAGGTACTCAAGCAACAGTGCATATGCAATGTATGACAGCCTTTCAGCGTCATTTTCCACTCCCAGCTTCTCTCCAACGCTAAGAAATTGATGAGTCATTAATTGGTGAACATTTTCTAATGCACATAACAATATCATCTAATCTAATCTAACTACAAATACAGTGTGGGTGATTTAGGAGGAATTTGAATTAACTTGTTTTAAGTGATTGTGTGATCCTGTGTGGTATGAAGTAAATATGTTAGAGAGATTTTGTTTTACAAAAAGATAAAAAGGCCTTTTTTTTTAATTGGAGGCAAACAAATACCATGGAGATATTCTGATAAAAAAAAAAAAAATACCATGGAGATAAGTTTTTTTTTTCCTTCCCAATATAGGCAATTTAAAAGTTCTCTGCGCTGAGGAGAAGAACTACACGCCCACCTATCTCGTTCGGTTTTTGTAACATTAGGACACAGACTCGTAATTTTTTTATGAGAAGAGGTTTGGGGTGTCATTAAATTAAGAGGTTGTTAGCAAATAGTTGAAGTCAAGTTGGTACTCCTACAAATTGTTTTTTTTTTCATGAGGGTAGGTTAGCCGTGTTTATAAAATTAAAAAATTAGCTGAATATAAAAATTTATTACTAATTTATTGCATTTTGAAGCTGTTCAATTGGGTGAAAAAATGTCCAAACAAGCATACTATAAATTCAAGCCATGGCAGACTAGATTTAGTTATTTTTAGGAATTCGGCCGAGTCAATGAAAAGTTTCATCGAAGTTCGCAACAAGTCAAGCCAACGAGGAAGCATTGACTTTATTGTTTTTGTCATACATATGAAGTATATTGAAAGCATTCATAAGACATGACTCATACAAGGTCTAAATATGACTCATGACAGTAATTCATGAACCTTGTTGCTTTAGTTCCCAGGATAATATTGTCATTACCTAGTATGACTTAATTAGAGAGGTTATGTTGCGCCAAATAATTTATATTAGAATAAATATTCTATCTTTTTTAAGAGAACAGGAAATCAAGATTTAAAGTCCTGTAAAATGAGAAAGATCATTCATAATTCCTTAGTAATATAAACTCCATTTGGCATCATTTTTAAAATTACTTATAAACACATTTCACATAAATTAAAACAGAATTTTTATCATATAATTATCTTAAATTTTGTAAATCACAACTGAAAAGCTACTTATAAGTTATTTTAAACAATGCCATAGTTAAGTTACTAGAATGACTTTTCCTTTAAAAGCAAAAGTTACTTCATTTATAAGAACACGGATTCCTTCAAACAACACCTACTAATTAGGAATCTAATCAGCCATCATCTTGACATTTAAGAATTGATCATTAAACTTCGCAGCCATTTCCATGGACACCTCATTGCCCAAGAAGGAATCAAACAGAACCAAATCAGTAACTTCCTATTTATATGAGAATTTTCATTTTGCGGAATCAACACTATTGACCTTTTTTTCTCTTTCACATAGGAAGAAACATGATAAGTGGCTCAGGCATATTTCTGAATTTTGCATGATACTTCTCTGGTCTTTAATATAAGACATATTTAACTAATTTAATTAAATTAAGAAAATTAGGTGAGTTAGTTAATTATAAAAAATATGACATATTTTTCTTAAAACACCATAATCATCTTCTTTAATATTCTTCCTCCTTCACTTACTTGATTATAGTTGAAAGAGTATTCATATGAGTAATTTAGGAAAAATTAATAAATATAAGAAATAAGTTTTATATTTATAATCAAAATTAACTCAACGATTAGGTTTTATATTAATGACAAGAGGAGTATAATGATTTATGCAAATAATAGCAATGACCACCTAATTTAGTGACATGAATTAAATTTCACTATAATTGGGAGATCATAAATTTGATTTCGCTCATACTTTTCTTTTTAATTCAAATAAAATAACAATTGATGCGAATCACTGTGTATATTTGTGCAGATTTCAAAAAGAAGAAGAATATGTATAGTGTGTAAAGTGAGAAGAAAGATTAAAATTAGAGGGTTAGAGAAAGAGGGAAAAAGTCAACAGCCATAGCCCAGTCAACAAACAAGCTTGTTTCACTAAGCTGGCGTGCAAAAAGGCACGAGCAAGTTAAAGCGAGTTTGGTTTCTTGAGCGCCGTCCATCTAATCTAATCAGGTACTTATTATTTTATTGTTTAACAAACAAATAAATTATATATTTGTTTGGACAATTCATCCAATTAAAATTAGTTTATGTGTTAAATTTTTAAATGAAAAAATAGTTAATCTAATAATGATCTGAAAGGTCCACATTGACTCTGCCACATCTACTTGCATGCATGAGGGGAGGTTTCAAGGGAAAAGCAAAAGAAGGGGTGACGTGGTCTTCAAGCAATGAAGCGATGCTTTATTCTAACCTATCTTCATATGCGCCGCCCACCACTAACCTTTCACCCTCTTCGTTAAAAACTTATTAATTTATTTCTTTTTCTCTCAATATCTTTAAAAAAAATTATCCTCCTTATGGCGGCTCACTAAAGAAAACTCGTTAATTTATTACACTATGTAAACTCATTTTCGTAATTCAATTTTAAACAAAAACATTCACTTATTTATCTATACTGTGTAATTTAATAGAAAATATTTCTATGCGTAAATTATAATATAGGAAATAGGATCATTCTTAATTTTTAAATTGAAAAAGTTCATGAGCTCACGGCCGCGTCATGCAACCCCTCTTATTTTTGATACAATCTAGGCCAACAGGAAAAGCCCAAAGAAGATTGAAATTGAGAAACTATTGGATATGGGGCCCATTGAAAAATCTAAAATGACTGCTTCATATTGGGCTCAGCCCAGTTAGAATGGATACAGAATCTGGGGCCTCACTGCCCTTATATACCCGACGTAAGTTTCCAATAGAATCCAGAATACAAGAACATATCTTTTTTTTTTTTTTTAATACATATTCCAATTTAAAATCAACAAACTATTAGTTGAGATAATAAGTGGTCTCATTTTAATAAGAAAGAGAACACAATTCTGAATGCTTAAATTGGGAGGACTTTAACTTAACCCAAAGTGACTTAGGATACTACGAGTTATACCAAAATAAAAAAATCAAATTTAAATATTAGAGGAGCACATTGAATTTGAAGTAGATGATAGGTGGAATTACGTAATTTAATATTTTTTAAATTTCTGTGAGAAACGCCAAAGTGAATTTATTGTAACACAAAGTGAGTGAAGTGCTTGCGTATATTCTCTAGAAATAATCATAATATAATCATATTAGAATTTAAGTATGAGTTTAAGAGTAGAAGAATTTCATGTAATGCAAGATGTATTTAAATTAAGGTACTGAAATATTATATGAATGAAAAACTCATAGGTTTAAAAAAAAAAATAGATACAAAGAATATTCAATATTCAAAGTAACATAATATGAAGTGCTGAAATCTATGATAAATAAATGAACAAATTGTGTTTGAACAAGAGATGGAATTTCAAAAAGCTCTGAGCCTTCTTCTGGTCTCAGCACATTCAGATTGCTTCAATTTGGCTCTTAAGATGGTGCCTTCGAATCGTTTCTTCAGCGCAGCAATACGCTCTGCCTTTTCTGGAGACTCCACAATTTCGATATTGCCATCTGTGTCCTCAACTATCATCGTCTTCTGTTTCTTGCTGCTATATTCTTCTCCTCCCACTGTGTCTTCTTCGTGCTCTCGCTTTTGCCCTTTTCTTGTTCCTTTCATCGTCATCATCGTCTTTTTGGGAATTCTCAAATTGGAAACCTTTTTTATGATATTTATGGTCTCTACTCACTTTTATGGTTTTCTTGTGCACATATCCTCCCAAAGTATGTGTATATAGAGAGAGAGAGATGTGCATGCTAGCAACACGATTTGATTTTCCTTTCTTTTTCTCCCAAAAAAAAAAAAAATCCTCAATTATCTTTTAATGATTTGGTTTAAAAGATAAAGTAAGACATAAATGAATCAGATATTCATTTTTTCGACAATGTTTTAGTATTTTATTTTTATGTTATTTTCTGATGTAATAATATTAACTAACTCTGGGTATTTGATTTATGATACGTTTAATTTTTTTTATTCAATATGTCATTATTTTAAATATAACTTTCAATCTATTATTTAAAATAATTTTAATTGAAAATCAATTTAAGATAAAGTGGAGTTAAATCTTCATCTTAATATTAAAATTAAGGATTAATTTTACAAGGACCACCAAAGTAATTCAAGGCGGAACATTTCCAAATTATTTGTAAAATGATCTTGAATTAAACGTTCGATTTCTCTTTTTAGTTGCGTGTGGGCAGGGGTGTGTGCTAATTCTTATATTTTATCCAATTCCAATATTTCAGATTTTTTTTGGTTTTTGCATTTCCAATATTTCAGATTATAAACCACAACGCTTTCTCAGGCCAAATTAAAAACAAAAAACAAAAAACCATCTACGCTTTATCTTCCATGGTCTTGATAAGAACAGAATCTTTTTGATAAAGGATGGTATAATTAGAAAAAGATTTTTAAATAAAATAATATCTTTTCAACTTCTTTTTAACCAGCAGCTTATTTAAATTACGCGACACGCAGCTCTTTATTTTTCATAAATTAAGAAATACACCGCCTTTTATAAAACCAACAAGATTATCAAGATATAACAAAAATTGGATGATAATATAGAAATTAATTTGACCTCAATGTAACATTACTATACTGGGTTAATTTATTTTTCTATCGTTTTCATTCTTCTCCACCCCCTAACGTTGTACCATTATCATCTCAAGCACCTTTAACTAATTCATCAAACATCTTAATTACTTTCCTGGTTGATTTTGCTAACCTTGTTAATTGAAACATTGCTAATCTTGCTAATAAACGACATGACGAACACATCACACACAAGCAACTAAACAGAAACGACGGCAAGTAAATAAGAAATCCCAAGAGCCATATCTACAACCCTTTTAACTTAACATTTTAATCCATAGTTCAGTGCCACATTACGGCCATAGCCTCACAAACACCAGTCAAGCGAGTAGCGAGAGTAAGTCGACAGTATATACAAAGCCATAACACTTTTAAGGTCCGTTATGATAGCTAGGAGTCCAAAAACCACAAGCAAATAACCATGGCTTTTGGGGGAAACATCACTTTGTTTCATGCTGCTTCAGCGAACCCCACCCTCAGCTTTCCGAAGTCAAACACTGTGTGATATCGCCCCATGAACACATCTCCAAGGATCCTGCATTATTTTGTGTGTGAAAATCATTTGAGTGAGAATCTTCATTAAAAGCAGGAAAAACAGTATTCAACAATGGAAGTAAAAGGTCAATATACCAGAGAGGGCCACGTGGTGGAGGAATATCTAAAGCAATGAAGCCACTAATGCATTGAGCTGCAGGGCCTTCTCCCACCTTCAGTATGTACTGAAGAAGAAACCCCACACCAATGAAAAAAAAAATCAGTACAGGAGTTTTCATGCAGAACCAGTAGTGGTGGTGATGATCAGCCCTCTCACAAAGGGAAAGTAATCAAGTCAAGTCACTGTACCTCCTCTGGAGCAAGCTCAAAGGTTCTATCACCGATAGTGAAGGAAACAGCAGGCATTGATGAGATTTTTCCACATTCAACAGCGGATTGTCCCATTGGGCTAGGCATTTTATCACACAGCTGCAAAAACCATCATAGGCTAGAGTCAAGAGGAACAACAGGATCCGGATGAATATACTGAAATGGCAAAGCGAAAACTCACCTCGTTGATGTAGTTCATTATTTTATCCACTGTCTGATTCTGCCTCAGCTGACTTTGCATCCATACGACAGCCATCTCGCAGGCTTGGCAGGTAGCATCTCGCGTAAAACCAGGTGTTTTTCCTTCATTCTCATCCACCACACTCTCAATGCCCATACTATAGTGGAAATAGAGAGACTCTTCATTAATTATAATCACAAAACATCAAATATATCAAGGTGACAGAGACGATAACTGAAAATCCCTGGGGTGATTGATCTTTAGGCCTTACCTAACACCGTGAGTACCATCAGAAGCACACAATCCAATTTGGGAGCAAATCTTCTTCGGTTCTTCCTAAAGAAGTGAGAGGGCCACATGAAAATTCATCATCCAATGTGGTGACCAGATTTGGTCTCACAGCAAAAAGAATGCTAAGAATGAGGCAAAAAATGGTCCTTACTTTAGACAAAAGCAAGTCAATTATTGTTTGCCCATACTGTGCAACAACTGCCTTGCATTCTTGACTAACGACTCCAGCAGCTCCAATAGCTTGATTTATCATGGTAATTACGGACTAAAAGAGCACAACCAGATATTTGATCAGCAAAACAAGTTAGTCACAAGCAATGGACAAGAGTTTCTCCCATTTAATGATGTAATGGAGGAACTTAATTATCAAATTACAGAGGCCTAAAAGAATATTGGGAAACTTGATTCCATTTTCATACACAAAAAGCTGTGCACCTAACAGGAATAATTATTTGGTTGTCAGGTTCGATATCACCTTGTCAAAAAATGAGAACTACCGCATAACTGAAAAAAATAAACTATATATCAATATGAAAGGGGGCAAATCCACAAAAGCAATGCCGTCAACATTTAAAATTTCAGATTAACCAAAACCAACTTAGCTATTTCTGACCTAAGTCAGCATTTCAGTCATCTTACTACCTCCCACCCCCTATTATACTGTTTATCCCAAGTGGTCAGTGCAGAATCTGTAGGCCTATCAAATTCTACTGACAGAAACGAGGAGTTGCATAGCATATATCACCATAACCCTAGAAGCATTAGTTCATACCGTGGGGCCTGCTAACAAAGAAGTCCCAGAATCGGCTATAGCTGCACAGCCATTGGCACAAAATCCTGAAGGAAAATATGCTCAGGTCAGGATCAAAGTATAAAACCGCAAAGCAAGGAATCATGTCATAAAGAAAACATATTAGCATGTCTTATCAGTTTCCTACACGTACCGGTGGATTTGCCATCAACAAGGACATCTCCCATGTCAAACTATCAAAACACCAAGACACAATTAACAGTGAGCAGATAATAAGTGGGAAAAAATAAAGCATAAACAAATGCATCAGAAAGTAGAACGATAAACAAATAACTTGAAAAACAACCTGCCAATAGCCTTTTTGTGTCACAGGTACATAAGTGTGCTGGCCCTTGTAGTGAGCAGGATCAACACCACCAAAGACAATCTCACCCCCTTCCTCTTCATCTGGATTACGATTCAACCAGAACGAAAATACTGGTTCCTTAATAAGACCTTGTTTAACCATATTGTACCTGAGACAAGTGTATGCCCTATGATCACATGGACATTTAACAAAACCCAAGTAAAACGTGGGAACAAAATTTAAATGTGTTATTACCACACTGGAACAGCTTTTCCAACCGAGATTTCTTGAAATCCAAGTCCTAAAATACCATCGAATTTGCCCATCAAAAATGTAACACCAGGCTCCCTTGTTGCTTCAATAAATTCCTGACGGGAAACGGAAGGCATTCTATGTCAATATATTAACTCAACTATATAGTAAAAGAACTCAGCTTTTTTCTCACACAACCCCCAACCCAAAAAATAAAAAAACCGTATGTAGGGATTGGCAATCGGCATTACCTGCTTCTTAACAACTATGTCACCAACTCTGACGTTGTCATAGCTAAAGAAACCAGAAATTGCTCCAGTACCATACTGAATTGCAGCAGAAGTTCCTACAACAACAGCGAGACAAATTTGATCGTTAGACAAGAAGACGACACCTCAACATCTCTGGTTCAAATTGTCAATTTTGTGATCAGACACACTTTATCCCTCAGAAACTCCATGTTTCAGTCAAATTGAGATTCTGATCAGACCATAGAATACTTTATTGATAAAGAAAGACAGCAAGATTAACAAAAGACAAAAAAAATATAACAGACTGAGCAGTTATAGAGTCTTATTCAATAGGAAAAGGTAGACGAACCATTTTTCCTGTAGGTACTGGATTGGCTAGACTTATATTTGGCATGGAAATAGCACGAAAGCTGCACCTCAAATGCAAGAATAAATCAGCAAAATGAGAAAGTAAATCTAACATAGAAATATTATGGAAGGCATGAGTCTATAAAAGCTGACCGAGAAATGACACTTGGACGATGGGACCCACAAATTAGAGCTCCCCGTATCAAAGATAACGCTGAATTTCTGAGGAGGGTTACCAATGGCTATTTCACCAAAGTACTGAGCATCCATGTAATTCTTTAACGCAACAATATCAGAGCCCGCAGCAGCATCTCCAAGATTACTTTGGAGATGATACTTTCTAATGGAAGATCGGAACGCCTCTCCCTCCTTGGACCCGAGCCGAGCAGCAAGCCGGTTGTTCGGGTCCAACTTCACTTTCTTCAGTCCAATCCTACGCAGCCCATCGCTGGGCTCGCAAAAAACCAGCGAAAGCAACAAGCTTGACAGAAAGAAACATAACAGAACAGCATTCATCTTGTTTCCCATTCCGAACTGGTCAACCAAACAGAGAATTTCCAGTTCAGAAAAACATAAAGCCAGTGACGAAAATTATAAAATGACTGCATGCATTCAGAAGTAAATGAGAATTTAGAAGGAAAGACATCCAAATCGCGAGGAAACGAATTGATAAAACCCAAAAAAAAAAAAAAAAAAGAGAAGAGATTCCTTTTTTATCTTCGCGACGAAGGAATCGAAAAAAAAAGCATCAGAAGGCATAGGAATGGTATACAACAAAAGAGAATAAGAACCGAAGAGAAAAGAACACCACAATCAAACCGATTCTGTATTCAGACCAGCGCATGATCAACGATCATCATCACAATAAATCAAGCAGTAAAGCCCACTACAAATCGGAATGATAAACTAAAAACAAAAACAGAATCTTTAATGGAGCAAGTGAATGTTGGAAACAGATTGCATGATCATGGAAATGGGAATGAAAAACTGACCAGGATCCACAAGAGAGTCAGAACAGAGGTAGGCGAGATGAGGAAAGTGCGAGGCTTTAATAGAGCAGGCGAGGGGTTAAAGTATGGGGGAGAGACTAAAAGGACGCGATTCTGGTGGAGACAGGCAAAGCGAGGCGTTGGAATCTTTGATGGGAACCGTCCGATGAAATGGGGGTGATCTGGAGCCGTCGAAAAAGGATGACCACCCTTTAATTAAAAAATTGATAACGGAAATGCGTAAGCAGGCTTTGCCTTCCTCAGAACGCGACACCTCCACCTCCTTCATTCTCGAGCTTTTAAACCCCCCACTACCCTTATTCTGTTCTTTAGCGCGTTTGTTATAATAAAAAAGAAAACAGAAAGCGGATTGTTTATTCGATAATCTCTATTTCACGTTTTTTCTTTGTGTGGTGACACCGCTATTCTCAACCAGGCCATCTTTCAAGTATAACAACAGATTCAAACTAATCTAAATCAAGATATGACAGGAATTATTAAAGTTGGTGTTTTTGGTCCTAAAAATACTACATTCTCACATCTCAAATTCGAAACTCATGGTAAAACTAGAACAGTTCCAGCCAACTGCGTTACCACATCTATTTCACGTTTTTGTTTCTAAATAGATGAGTATAATATAATTATTTCACTCTCAAAGGTATTTGCATCAAACCATCCATCAATGGTTGGCGCATCGCGTTTGTCAACATAAAATAATGAGCATGACAAAGAGAATTAGTGTGAGGATGAGGACGTATAAGAGTATAATAATATATGATATTAATGATATTTGGGGAGAATTAAGACTTGGTTAGGCCGAAGAGAAAGCTTAATGCTTAAGAATTAAACTTTAAAGTGACGGATTGGGATTGGAGGATGTGTTGAATATTGTAAAATTTAAAAGGGCTGGGAAGGCCAAAATGGAAAGAAATAAAAAAGTGAAAATATGTGGCTCAAGGCAGTGAAAGAAAAGTGAAAAGATCATCAAAAGGAATGCAGTTTACGGATCTGCCATTTGTTTTCAACAAAACAAGAACACCTGCCATTAAGTGCAAACTCCAAGTTGCCATAACGGATCTGCCTTGACTTGCGTCACGAAAACACCCCTCAAAACTTGCAAACCCAATAGTCATTATTTGGGCGAAAAGGCAAAATGTTCGGTTTAAAAACTTTATTGTTTTGGTCAAAAAAATAAAGACCTGAATTTGCCAACAATCTCTTGGATGGGTAGCACAGATCGAGACAAGTTCGAGCCGGCCTTTGTACTAAAACAACAAGAAATACGTGAATGATATCTTCTGTGTATGAATTTTGTACTTTTCATGTATATGTCAATTTCTTTCTAGTAATTATTAGAGATATTGAATGAATATCTGGCGTTCGCATTCCGTGCTCATTGATGAGCATTTTTATTTTTTAGTGCTGAGCATTTTTATTTTTATTTTTTTGTTACAAAAAAATTTATACCATGTCAAATTATTAATATAAAAATTATCTTGATATTTAATTTAGTCTTAAATATAATATTATAATCTACTTTATCTCTTATATATATTTATTTTTTTCAATATAGTCCTTATAATAATTGTACGTGTTAAAGATTTAATCAATTGTTGATTTTAGTTAATACACATAATTAGTGAGAGGCATTTTAGAGAAAACAACATTTATTTATTACAACTGACTAATTTAGCTAATTTTTGTAGTATACTTGAATTAGTTAAACTAACTCTTATATTAAGAATCAGAAGAAGTATGTATTAAAATTATTTTTGGTTAACATTTATCTAGTACTCAAAAATATTTTTTTAGATGTTTTCAATATCTTAAAGTATTTTATGATTTATTTAGTACCTTAAAATATTTTTTCACGTGCATTTAATGTTTTAAAAAAATTTCTATTTCTTGATATTGTATCATAAAATTTTTTAGAATACTAAAAAATATTTTATGATACTAAATAAATCATAAAAGACTTTAGAATACTAGATCCTAAAATATGTTTTTAGGTAAGCCCAGTCACAAAGTATTTTAAAATAATGAACATATATGAAAAAATATTTTAGGTACCAAATAGATCAAAAAATACTTTAAAATACTAGATTCTTAAATATTTTTTCAAATACAGTGTCAGAAAATATTTTAGAACACTAAATACATATGAGAAAATATTTCAGGATATGATAAAATATTTTAAAATATTTAAGAGTATTAGATAAACTTTAACTAAAAATAATTTTAATACATATATTTTTTTGTAATAAAAAAAAAAGGTCCCTCACGGTCAGCACTCAAAACGTCCACGTTTTGAGTGATGAGCACGGAACGCGGATCCGAATATCTGTTTGTTTAGATTGTAGATATATATCCACGTCGTCTAATTAATTATGGAAAGGAAGAAGAAAAGAAAGATGCAGACAGAAGTAGCGTGAGAGAAGAAGGAAGGAAGGAAGGTGGTAAGGAGAAAAGCAAAGACATAGAGTGCAAGGCATGGCGTAGTAGTCCAAGTGGGAGGAATACTGTTTCCATGGCTGCAAGCAACCTCGTCTATAACTCGCAGGTTATCCCAATTCCCAACAGCCACTCCTTTTAACTTGCGACCTTCACTCTTTCTATTCTGCTCCCTTCTCCTGTCCCTGTCACTGTCCTCATCCTTCTACAGTTCATGCTTTTGTTCAGAGTGTTCCATTCCCTTACCTACTCGCAACCGACTACCACACGTTTCCCCACATATCAGTATATATCACTCACAACACAGCAAAACAATTCTTTTACATTTCTACCTCCATTTTCCTTCCTTACTCTTTACGTACTATCCTTCCATTCTGTAGTTTTTATGGCTTCTTCTTCCTCCTCCTCACTGCTCATAGTTTCATATTACTGTTTTGATCCTTCATTGGATTCACAGTATTGCTTGTCTTTTCACTTTGCTCCGTCTTCAATAATCCTCACTGGTGACTCTAGTTTTCCTTTTCCAATTTACACTCAGAGGTCAGTATGATGATGTGCACTATTGTTTTGTTTCACATCATAATTTTGATATTTTCTGACAATTATTTAGTCACTTAGATGTGTGAACTATTTTGAACATTTATATTATAATTTTTTTTAACTCAAATATTCCAATTAATAAAGCTTGTGCACTTTAATTTAAAAAAATACTAAATTTCTATGCGCTGAAATAGATCCACTAGGCCATTAATCCATTTTCTATTCGTTTTAGCCCGGTTAAGTAGAGAGCCTGCTTTGGCAAAAACAAGCAGAGCCTGCTTTTGACCAAAAAAGTGGAGAGCCTGCTAGCCCGATTTAGCCCACATGGACTGGGCCTTTTGTTTATTGGTTGGCCCATCACAACATAGGACAAGCCCTAACGGAACAATTTCTGCCGCTTCGTTTCGTCTTTTTTTTTAATTAAGATGAGAAGCATTTTACTTGGACATACCTAGAAATTTTTTTCCTCAGATACCCCCAGCTGATAAAAATGAAATGGAATGGGCCAGTCTTCCACAAAATTTGAATTTCTATTAAAAAAAATCTATATTTAATATCCAATAATACTTCTAATAATATTACTTTTAATCAAAGGATATATTTGCTTTGGGAAAAAAAATTATACAAGGTAAATCGAACTTTTTCTTTTGCCGACAGTTAATTTAACATTGCATTTATTTAATTCTGAATTCTGAAATAAAAGAAAAGAAACAGCTTTTTAGCAAATGATGGATGCTGAAAAGGAGTTTTGAGAGTAAAAATCTAGAAGCATTAATGGTTCATTGAATGTTGAACAAAATAAAAAGGAGAGATTGAAGGAGCTTCACGCGACGAAGGTGATTGGATATTTACTCACATGCATGCATGAAACCTTTAACCTCTTGAAACTTATAACTAATTGAAAAAGATGGCTCTTCTTTTCCTGAACTTGTTCTTTCCTTTTTGCATTTCTTTATTCTCCTTTTGGACTTGGCGTCCTCATCTACATGTCATTGGTTGGAGGGATAAGAATGGTCGGGAAATCTAACTTTGTTTCTCTGGAATTCCAAAATGACTCGTAAACATAATGATCTTCGGGTGATGTTAAAGTTAGAACGTGAATTTACGAAATTATCTCTAAAAAGTGTCATTTGATTTGACCCAAATATGTAACATGGACTCGTGGCAATATAATCAACCAAATACATTGGGACATACACATCAATCTTACTTATTAATTCAAATATGTTTTAATTTTAAATACATCGATCGGGATATCCATGCGAATCAACTTACTACATTTTAGCATATCTCCATACTTTTTAAATTAAATAAAATACACGGTGAGACCCACGCCAACACAAGTGGAAATTTGCAAGTGGTTTTCCTTGATGGAAAAATGATTTTTTGTATATATATTCACTTTCATAACAAACATACACACAATCAAGAAATTAATGAAAAATTGACCTTCCCTTTTTTATGGTTAAGTAAAATTCATGATCCAAGTCTTCATTAGAAAGTACTCCTCTAGTTTTTAATACAAGACTTATTTAACTAATTTAATTAGATTAAGAAAGTCAGGTAAATTAGTTAATTATAAAAAATATGACATGTTTTTTTCCTAAAACACAATAATCATTTTTCTTAATATCCTCCATTCCTTTTCTACTTGATTATAGTTAAGGGAGTATTCATAGGAGTAATTTAGAAAAAACTGATAAATATGATAAATAAGTCTTTTATTTAGAATCAAAATTAACTCAACAATTAGGTACTATATAAGAACTAGAGGACTATCAATAAAATGAATCACTCTCAAAACCGTGAGCTCTCGATGTGTCTCTTGCTCTTCAAGAAATATCAAAACTTTTCAAATGGATGGAACTCAATAAATGCATATCGTATCATATAAGTGCATATCGTATCATATCTTATTTTGTTAATATATATCAGATTACATGGATCTGCATAGAAGAGAATAATATTTTTATTTTAAAAAAAGTATCGATTTCACAAGTAATATTAGTTTCAATAAATGTGACTGGGCTCATTTTCAAAGATTGTCGTAAGTTGTCCATAAAATTCATTTTGCATAGGTCTTCCACCTTCACATGCAATCACATGATCCTATTCACAAATTAAACAATCATTTTTATCTTTGCTTCCTCTAAACAGATCTGACTTCTCAGTTCTCGTGTATTATTGTCCACGTACAGTAGATATATAATTACAAATGAAAGAAATCATATATCCGTACCTCCATTTGCAACTGCGTTTTTTTGGCCCCCCTACACATAGTTTATACAGGGTTAACTTTTCGAGGGCTATGTTATATAAGCAAGCTCCGATGTGTTGTTGGCAAAAAAAAAAGAAGAAGAAGAAGAAGAAGAAGAAGAAAACATTTGCTGACGATCAAACACTAGAAGTAGTGGCTCCTATAAGACTCTATTTCTGTGGGTTAATTTCCAAGTAAAAAGAATGCAAAAATCTCGAAAACAGCTTTAATACACACACGCACATAGACTAATCCCTCCAGTTTAGAATATAAATTGTAGTTTATAAAATATTTTAATAATGCTTTTAGAAGATATTGCATTGAAGTCATTCATTTTTTTTAATTTAAAAATTGAGAAGGGGGGAAAACAGATTATGGGAAAATCATAATCCATTATCGCTTCAAAAGAATAAATCAGTCTTACTTGTATTTTACTCTTCCATAACACATGCCTGATTGGATGTTCTCATGTTTTGGTGATCGAATTCAGTAGTGCCTTTTAGAAAGAAAAAAGTCAAGAGTGTAACGAGGTCATTCATATGCATGGGGGAGTAATCCCTCAGTTTGAGGCCTCTGACCTTAAATTGCCCTATGTGGTACAATATCGACTATTGATCAGCTGGATATTTAAAAAGCTCTCATATTCTAACATGGAATGAAATTTCAAAAATGAATTACTATATTGTTTGAAAACGAAGCGAAGTAGTATTATTTTCGATGGCACTTAATATTTGACATGATTATATTAATACTAACAAGTGATTATGCATAAAATTAAGATCAAGTGTGAGTCTGTTATTATTATTATTAAGGGGGGGAGAGGGAGAGAGAAAGAACAAGTCAAAGGTGGAAGACGAGGAAGAAGACCGGGGGGTACGGTGGATAAGGTACGGTGCGACCAGCTCAGACATACACAGAAGTGACGTGCTGGACTGGACACCTCGCCATCTCTCACACATGATTGGTTGAATGGCACCGAGGTGGGCCCTAACGTGAGTCTCGTGGAAAAGTAAAAGTAAGTCAAAAATCCAATCCAGCTTGCTCCAATCCAATGAAACTCTCTCTCTCCCTGTCTCTCTCTCTCTCACTTCATTGACCCTATCATTACTCCGTTTCTTTTTCTTTATTACTTCCACGCAAACCGAGTGCCCACGTCCAGTCCACGTACTTGCCCCCGAAGCTTCCCCCCATTTCTTTCTCTTACCTGTCATTTTTGAAATTTTGCAATGGCCGTATTTCTTGACCAATCACACTAATCCCCCCATTATTCTTTCTCAGCATACACTGTTCCTTGCCTCTTTCTTGACGCTTCTTTTGTCCTCCTCGGAAAACTCGGTCGTCTACGTTGCTTTCGAGTTCCCCAGATTGTGAAATTTCCCCAGAACCATATAGATAAGTTCGATTGATCCAGATGCCCCGGCTCAAGAGATATTCTCTACTAATTTCCTTGTCAGTTTTCAGACGGCGATTTCAGAATATGACTTTGAGTCTATTGCGTGAATAAAAATCTGGTACAAGTGGAGTATAATGGACGGTACTCATATTTTAAAAATTTGCTAAAATTTAAGGTACAAGATACAGAGATACATCGGTAGTAGGTACTGTGTGTTCTTTTCTTCCTGTCTATTTACTCGCATAATCCTAATCCCAAGTTATTCAAATAACGATGAAATAACAAAGAAAGAATGAGACTTCCCTCGTGATCTAAATCTTCCTCCCTCGCTAGACACGGAGAAAAATTTAAAGAAGAAAAAAAACATATGAACATTTTTCATTTCGTTCTCCCCCCTCCCCAAAAGTATGAAAGAAGAAACAAATTTACGAGAAACGAAAAAGACAAAGCTTTTACGGATTCCCTGAGAAACTGCTGATTGTGGTACCACATGTGATGTTGGGATTGCCGCTGCTATTGTTGTTGTTGCTGCTCGAGGGCACGCCGCCGCCATTAATGATGGAGGAGATGGCGGCCGCGAGCGCCGCTGTGAAGTTTGGGTCGGCCGTGATGGCCGCGGTAGCCGCGTTCACCGTGTCTGCCAATGATGGCTGCGGCGGTTGGCTTGGCTGCACCGGCCTGGGAGGTTGGTGGGCTAATTGGGAAGAAGATGAAGACGACGAACCCATATCCTGGGACAAGTGAAGGCCAGAGAACTTGGACTGATTGTAAAGTGCTTGCGAAAATGCCTGAGCCAAGTGATGTTGACCTGACGCCGTTGGTTGAACCTGAGGCTGCCCTTGGAAATTAGGTACCTGAAATGGAGGTCTCTGGAATTGCATAGGGTTGTTAATGTTGCTGTTTGAATTGTGAGTGAGGTCCAATGTTATAGTGGGAAACGGAGCCGAAGCCGAAAGCGTAGCCATGCTAGACGAACATGGAAGAATAGCCCTGGCCAGTAAGTTCGGATGCATTATTCCGTCTGCACTCGACATCGAACCCGACAACAACATGCTAGCAGCTGCAGTCGTCGTTGATGCCATCGCCATCGCCGCCGGCGGCAGCGGATGGTTATGACTTCCTTCATAGGTAGTTATCAAAATCGTCCTGTCCTCCGCGCAACGTTGTACCTTAACAATTCGAAAGAGCGCATAACCTCGTCAGCCTTCCACTACTACAAATATTGATACTATTGGTTATATAGTATATAACTATATAACACAAAAAGATGAAAAGGCTTACTTGTTTGCGAACTGGGCAACCGACCGCCATGGTGCATCTATAGTAAGCACGAGGGCAAGGGTTTCCCTTTGCCATTTTCTGTCCGTATTTTCGCCACTGACACCCGTCACTGATCTGTAAGAGTCAAACAGAGATCAGTCTCAGTTATTACCATGAAATTCTGATGTGTCTTTTAATTAGCAGATATAGACAATTTAGTTCTTGATAAATTAATACTAGACATACCATGGGTGCCTCTGATCTGGCACGAACTGAGACGCGAGCTTTCCTCATAGTGGCTTCTGCGGCGGTACTGGTTGATGGGTCGGTGGAATTTGGGGAGGGGTTCAGCTTCTGAAGTTTGTTAGGACCACTGCCCCAGCCTTGGGGATGAACATCTGAGTCTGGGCTCTCTTCCCTCTCATTCTTACCACTGTTGTTGTTAACAGGAGGGGTGGTGGACCTTGTTCTTTCATCAGAAGTTGAATGGGATATCTCGTTATCTACTTCAGCTGTTCCACTTCTAGGCCGCAATTCCAGAAGCGGCATCGGTGCAATTTCTCTTTTGTCATCAGGTTTTGATTGAACAACCTAAGTCAACCCAAATTAGGTAAGCATACGAGATTCGAAACATTCATACATAAAAATTGGCCATAACATAATCTTGTGTTTCCACTGTATTCTTAATTACCTCATTTCCTGTGCTCTGCGTACGTTGAATCTGTTGCTGCTGCTGCTGCATTAAAGTGACAAGATGCATCTGCAGAGCCGCGTAATTACTGCTCACGTGACTCAACATGTCCCGCAGTTTCACGTTTTCAGCATTCATACGTTGAAGCTCCTCTTGCAGTTGCGCCAACTGAAACATACACCCGTAATTCTCAGTTTCAGACAGTCGGGCGGTAATCAAAATTTGCAGTAAAAGTTATTTCTCGACACGCAGAAATCAATTATACATCAAAATTTTTACCAGCGTTAGATAAATATCTATGAATTAACAAGGATAGCACCTAAAATTATCATAAACAGGAACTAACTAAGATCGGGATATATATGATATAGATCTTTTCTTGTATTAAACAATTAACGAAGACCATATATAAGCGTACCTCGGTTGAACTCTTGGCTCGCTTGATTTCGGCATCAGATGAAACTCCATCGTCCACCGTAGACTGATCGCTGCCAGTATGAGCAGTAAGGAGTTGCAAGCCAGTCTATATTAAAAAAAACAAAATTAAAGAACGGAATCAGCATCATAACCATATGTATAGTCAAGAAATCAGAAAAAAAGATGTTTTAATCCAGATTAAGTGATGACAGATGAGGAGGGCGCATACGTTGACATGGGAAGGGGGTGATTCGGGGGGAGGATTCTCGTTCTTGACGGGTTTGAGAGGGGGAGGAGGAGGAGGAGGGTTGTTGCGATCGGAGAAGAAGTCGAGCTCGCCGGGGGGGAGGCGGGAGTCGGCGGCGGAGGGGCGAGTGAGATTAACGGGGAAGCCTAAAGAGGGAAGCATGGTGTGGGGGGAGAAAGCAGCGGCGGCGGGAGAAGAATCAAGAGCAAGACCCCATGCTTTGTCCATAAAAGAAGAGAGAAGAAGAAGGAAGACGACTACGCGGAGAAGAAAGCGTGGGAGGTGAATGAAGTGAGAAGTCTTCAAGAAAGGAACGAAGGAGGGTTTATAAAAGGAGAGGAAACGTCAGAGAGTGCGTCAGGTGTTGAAAAGAAGGGGAAGAGGAAGGAGGTTTCGTGAGGAAAAGAGTTTGACTGCTTCTAAAAAAGCAAATGAAGAGAAAGGGCCACCGCCCCGAATAGTGCGGCGCCTTCCACGTGACCAAAATCAATCAAAGTCAACTACTTTGACCAACCAGCGGGCCTGCTTCCCTTTCCCATTTCTCCTACTACTCTTCTAAATTTTAACTTCATCCTCCCCATTCTTAAAATTGCATAGTTTAAATTTCAAAATTTAAAATTCTATTTTTCCTATTGACAGGTTTAATTAATTAAGTATTCCTATTACGTAACATCATCAAGCTAATAAGCATAATATGTTTTGACATATTCACTTGCATTATTGCACAGCATCAAGTTGTGGTGAGATTTACGCGTTACACAAAACACCATTTAAAAACTCACATTTGTTTATGCTTTGTGTAGAAAATCATACCCTTGATAATCATCAATAATACAGTTCAACATAAATTATGTCTAAGCATGCCAAAAGAAAGAAGAAAAAGGAAGAGCCCGGTTCAAGAAGATTTTTTAGAAGACTTCAATTGAATATGGTACTCAATTATTTTGATCAACTGGTCATGTAATTTTAAAGGTTAGAGTCATAGGAGTATATAACCCCCCCCCCCAAAAAAAAATTTCGATCATATATCAAATCAACGTGATAATCAATAAATTAGTCACAACAACTATTTGTAAAATTTCAATTACTTAATTAACAATATCTATAAAATTTAATTGTCATCATCCAACCTTATTTATAGAAACGAAATTTTATAATTAGGATTAGAGGTATTATAAAATTTAATTGTCATCATCCAACCCATGTGAGTCGTAGGACTTTCGACTCCTCTATCTTTAATGTCCCAGAAAATATAAGGCTTTACTGTCATCAGATTCAGAGCATACTCCTTGTATCTCAAAGAATAATATTCATCAATTATTTGTGATTAAACCATTAGAAAATTAATTAGTGGGATGAAATTCAGCGTGAATTAAGTTACACTTTACAGCTAAAAAATAGAAAAATGAAAATGTATTGAATGAAATAATAATACGTGGGAGTCATACATGGGTACCACGGTATTATTTTATAACATCCTCAAAAAAATGGTTGAGAGTGATTATTAATACTCCTCCGGTCCTAAATATAAGACTCTTATACTAGTGTGTATAAGGGTCTTACATTAGGATCGGAGGAGTATATAATAAATAAATAATAAATAAAGTTGAAATTAAAAGAGAGAAAAACGGGGGAGGAAAGAGCGGGCGGGCAAGTAAAGGGAGAGTGTGGATGGGCCCACCCACCCCTCGGATCTGCGTTCCCGGGAACCTTGTTGACTCTTTACTCCTGGGTCCCACCCCCGCTTCTTCTCTCCTTCCTTTTCCTTCCTTCCCCACCTCCTATTCGTTTTTTTAAAAATTATTTTAATTAGGGAGAACCGTTTTCACCCCCAAAAAAAAAGGGGAGAATTCAATCCCCTTAAAAAAAATTTTGAAATAATAAATTTTTATAATAACGTGTTGTTATTTGCAAATTTAATATTATCAAACTTATTAAGGTGTTGTTACCAAACATGATTTAATATTTAGTAATTTTAAACTTATTTGTGTGAAATTCTCCTTTTTAATTATTCACATCCAAATCTTTTTATATTGCATTAAATATCAATTTTTAGCTTTTTTTTGAAAAATAAATAAATTGTTTTAGATAGGTAGGTGGGTGCCTTCTCAACGACGCACCAAGCTTTCCAGAGATGTTTGCTAATTCATACTAATTTGTCAAGTAATAGGGTAGCCCATTGTTTATTGTTTTGAATTTGATGAGTGCGAATCACACCAAAAACATAGAAAACTTGCCGCAATCATTGATGAATTGAACTGTCCAAGTTCATTCTTCACATTACACGGAGCAACAAACGAAGTTTTTCACGATTTCATAGACTTTAAGTGACTTCTTCATTCGATCAATTTCACTTAATTTAACTTCTTCCATGTGCAAATCATTTGACTATGTGTATAGTGACATTTCAACAAAATACACACACACACACATTATTGTGCAAATTACAGTTTAATTTGTTTATGTTTGATATGGTTGGATCGTATCCCTTGTCTGACTATACTGTGCCATTATCATTTTCTATTTTATGCATATATACACTGGCGCATAATATTAAAAACTACTCTTTTGTCCATGACTTGTGATAAAATCATAATATTATCTAGTACCATATGCAAAAATGCCGAACATATACTTACATATATCGATTTCAATTTTACTCTTATTCTTTTCAAATTTTTAGTGCATGACATTGCTTTCTTTTTTTTTTTTTTTTTTTGGGTTAATCTATATAGATGTAAACAGCTACGTACAGAAACTAGATATTTACTTCTATTCTGTTCTAACTTTTCAAATTTATAGGTCGGCATCCAAATTTTTAATGAGCTTGTGACTATAATGTGACCTTTTTTTGGCTTTGCATAATGTTGCAAAGCCAGGTGTTGATCAGGGAATCAAACAAGTTAATAAATGGTAGTGACTCATAACCACTCTCACTGATAGAAACAACTTAACAGACCTATGATAGACCATAAACCAAAAAATAATTAAGGATCCGTTGTCATCATTTTGACAAACGAAGGAGTGATAGATTACAATAGTACTATTCAGGATGTGATGTATTTGAGACTATGAACAGAAAATAATTAATTCCCTATAAAGTTAAAATTATTATCCCCACACTAAACCTCCGAGGGAGTAAACTTCGCCAGCTAATCTAAAATTTAAACAAAGTTATTTCTTCTGTTTTGCTTTTACTCTATCACTGGGCACACTTTTTAATTTCATTATTATTTAATTTGATGAGCGTGCATACGTGTGAACATACATAAAAGGAAAACACAACATCATGATGTAAAATGGGTGTGGAAAAGGCCCTCGTGTATTTCGGTCCAACCATAGTCAAAAGGTGACAGAGCAGGACGAGGAAATATAAGGAAAAGCATATAATGATAATGGCCTACACAAGAGAAAAGAGAGAATAATCAAAGAAGTAAAAAAGTATAAACAAAGGAGAGATGCTAATAATCCCCCTGTACATACTACTTTTTAGCACGTTTCCATGCAATTGATGAGGAAGCAAAATTCAATTTCTTGCGACGTTCTACGTTGGCTTTTGGTCTCTTTAGCGTTGCCTTTCCAAGCTTCTTTTGAAAAAAATAAAAAACGGCACCAGATTTGAGAGGAAAAAGGCATTCCTTGGTATGGCTTAACCAATAAAGAAAGGGAAAAAAACCCATATAACGTTTCAATTCATTCATTCATTGGAGCTTCCCTTTCTTTACCTTGACTATGAATCGGAGGAGGCTTTCTTTGAACCGAATACTTCATTAACTGAACATGGCCCATTACAGTAAAAGCCAACGTCGGCTTAACTTTGACTATAGTTCTCCTTTTTTAATACCGCACGTCAAACTTTCAGTGAGAATAGTATTACCCTACCTAGCCTGCGTTATCACGAGCCAGTTTCCTTTTCCCCTTTTCATCAAATTATAATTTCCACCTTCCTTACGTTATAGTATATGACACTGATAATTATCATATGTATTACTTCTTATTTTTAATATAAGAGTTAATTTGATGTTTATTTTGGTCTTAAATATATGATCTTAATTCATTTTTTTTTTATATTTAATATTTATTTTTTTAAGATAGTTTTTGTAGTAGTCACATATAGAATGATATGTCTAGCTAATACATATAACTAACAAGGGTATTTTAAAAAAAGTAACACATATTTATTATAAATAACTAATTTAATTAATTTTTTAAATTTCTGTAAATTAGTTAACTAGCTCTTAACATTAGGGATGAAATTAGTGTTATTTTTAATGAAATCATTACAGACCTTATAGCTTGTACAACATGGGACTTGAAAATATATCAGAAGAGATTGGAGGGTGTAACAACATTATTAATTCGCATTTATGGTCATCAACAACCTTCCTGCCATGGTGACAGGCTGTTGAGAGAAGAAAATTTAGTTTCTGCCGGTGATCCATCACTCAAATATATTCAGTTTTGATTAAAACTGAAGAAAAGCTTCACAAATTAAAGTTTCAGCAACAACGGTTGATTTAAGTGCAAAAAGAGGACGATAATTCTTGAGAAAGATCGGGAATTCAAATCTGATGGGTTCAAAAGAATACTCGAAAGTCTCAAATCATATCAGAGAGGAAACCGTATTCACGGGATCCATTCTATTGCGCGTGACTTAATATTAAATTGGATCCGCCGGCGAATGAATTGCCACAGTTCTTTTTGCACAGTAGAAACATTTTGGATCAGTTCGAACAGTGATTTTATCTAAAGCTAGCGAAGATTCTTCCTGCTCCTCTTACCCTGTTTTGTGGTATTTGAAGCTTCCTAATTGGTTGAAGCCCATAATATATATTTGTTAGAGTAATTTTAATTTCTGTGGTTTTTATGGAACCTAGAAACACGTTTCATCAAATCGAGGTAGTTGGATTTGCTTTTTTCCTACTTTGCTTAATTATTTGGTTTAAGACCATGAGAGATGAAATTTCAAACAGTGTCCGAGTTAAGTTCTCGCAGTTCATGCATGAGGGTCGAGATCAGAGATGTTCTCTGCGTTCATACTTGCGGCGCCCAAAGAAAACGAAGGAAACCAAGAAAACAAAAGGCAGAGAGAGATAACTTTTCCAAAAGCTTTGCGAAAATGAAACTCATAATATAATCCAAGAGCTTTTTTTAATAAAACCGCAGATTTAGAACGTGGTTTACTATCTTGTCATCTCAGGCTAATTTGCTTTTCTCTGAGATGTCTATTTCTTGTTGCCGTGTGTTCTGAGAAGCTAATTCAGTTTGAAAGCACAACTTCTAAAAA